GGTGAATGCCACAAATTCTCCTAAATCACTCGTACGCACAACTTAAGAACAAATCTGTGCATACGAACATGTTCTTGCATGAGGCCCATTGTTTTATGTTAAATAGAACATGCACAGTCCATAGTTGTTCACTTGTGTATTTGTACATTTACTGGCACATGTTGGCTTAATGGGGAAACAACATAAATACACAAGTGTATTTCCACATAAGTGATGCTTTTCACACAGCATTGTTGCAATCTCATCCCTTCAGAACCCAAACCCATTTCTACTTTCATGAAAATTATGGGGATTGTAGATTATAACAAATAGATTAAATGTTACATGTTTCTGAAGTTTTCCTTTTAATACCTCCACTCAGTAGAAATGTCACATAGAGTTCACATTGGATATTGAGTACATACAGTATATGATACATTTCGTTTAAATTATTGAATACATTTCTATGCCTATTTGTTTAAATGTGATTTCAAATGAACAACAGAAAAAAAATATCTTAAATAACTAAATGAGCTAAATTGACTAAACAGATTGTTAGTGTTTGTCTCATTGTGATAAATATGTCACATGGAACTGTTCTGTACAGTTTAGAGTTTTGTTGTGACATATATGCCAATATTTCATGTGACATGTCAGTATTTGATAAACCTTTTCTATATCAAATTGTTTTAGAAATGCTGTCAAACTGAGTTATATGTGATATAAGACATGTTGTCTAAGGATTAGAACAGCTGTATGAGTGAAAACTTGCTTTGTTCAAAAGAAACAAAGTTTTTTTTAAAAATGTCTTAGTGGCCACACTACCTTCCTGGGTGCATGAGACACTGGAAATGAAAACTACAGTATYCAGAGTCCCTCCCTAATCATGTGACTAAGCCAGGGTGTTAAATAGATGTCATTTATGGACTTCATGAGTTTTAAAGTCAGTGTTTAAACAAGATACTTTTCTCGATGCCAAAAGGGACTGTGACACCAGTGTCACCATGATTCCTTACAGGTTAAGTTTATAAAACACTATACTGCAGTTTAAGATCAGTTGCTTCTCTTGAGAATCAATTATTTAAATCTTGCTCTAAATGTGCAGTGTATTATTTCCTTTATTCCACTTGATGATGATTGAAGCTGATAACTTACAGATCCACCCTTTATACCTTTTTTCAAGTAAATCTATGCAAATTGAACAATGAAAATACTCTCAACTGAATTTAAAAATAAATTGGATGTTAATGGAAAATAATTTGAGTAAGATAAATATTAAACACTGTTAAATAAATGTAAAAAATGCACAATTTTTCAATTCTTAGTAAATACGTCCGATATTAGTTTATATGTCTTAAACATCTGTAGCAGAACACTTGAGCGGAAAGACCCCTTTATCTTGTTTTGGTGCCAAGTCTCAACATACTGTAGACTCTCAGGAGCTCAGGACAAGATCAGTAGAGCAAGAGGCTCTCACAGAGAGGGAGTGATTACTTGGATACAGCAGGGTTCTGCTTTTTCCCAGTGCCAGTGAGAGTACAGACACACTAGCACTGATTACATTTATTATTAACCTTTAGCCTCATGGAGAAGGCTCTTGAGAGGAGACATGCCAAATACCAGGAAGTTGTGGAGCAGAATGGGGGTCATGGCTGATAGACTCACAAAATTAAAGCATTTTGCCTGAAGTTCTGACTGGATTTAAAACAACCACATCAGTGCTCTTTGAAATAATCAAGAAAATCAACAGGTAGATTTGGATAAAGAAAAAAAATTGCCAAAGGCTTTCTGGTGCACAAATGCAAGAATTAAAAAAATGTGCATTACYTACGTGTGACAAATACAAAGTTAAAAGACCACAGTCACTGATGATGTATTCAAGCATTTCAAAAGCAATAATGAATTTTTCAGTAGTCAAGAGATTTCATCTCAAGGGTACTATTTTTGTTATAGTGAAATGTTTTAGTCATAAAAATAGCCTGGGACACAAAATTCATAATGTGTTGTGAAGAAAAAACAGCAGACAACGCAATATTCTAAATCAAAATGAAGTCCGCAACTAGACAACTTTATATCATGTACAGTACCTGATCACAGTGTCTGTCTATTTACACTCCCTACTTTTAGGCCATGTTGAACTGAATATGCACAAATGCCCTTCCAACCATCTTCTTATATCTCACTAAAATTTGCAATGAAGGAGGGTGAACTGGTATGGGCATCTTTATTGTGTTTTCAACGTTAATTGTTCAGTCATAAGTTGTACAAGAATAATTCTACATGACTCAGATGCAACTGATATTAAATGGTCATTGAACTCCCTTTTATATTAGTTTATTGTGTTTCATGCAAAGTGTCCCCTTTATTTCACCTGACAACAAGTTGCTTCACATTAAATTTTCATTTGTATCCACTTGCACTCCTTTTGACCCTTCTGGATAACAGCATGTCTACATCTAGGCTTGTATTCACCCAACACCCAACCTAATCYACAGGAAACTTAAAGCAACATTAAAAAGTGCTTGTGGCAAAGAGTGTGGAAGCTACAAAGAGAGAAGACGTAAGAGGATTTGAAAAAAAATATAATAAAATAAAAAAGTAGTGTCAAGGGGAGACATAACACAGAACGGCAGTATGGAGGAAATACCTCTCTTCTCCCAACTCTGTAGAATACAGATACTTCACTAAAGCCCACAAAAGAAAGCTGATGCATAAGGAGTGTGTGGGGGGGGGGGGAAGATTAGAGAGCAGATAAAAAGTTAGGATTTGCCAGGAAGGAAAATATGGGAAGTGTTGAAATTAAAAGAACAAAGCTCTACTCCCTATATTTCTGACAAGTTCAGTAATTAATCAAACCTTTGAGAAATCAAACATTGTGCGATAGCAATGAAATAAAAAACCCTTAATCCTATTTGACCAACTTACACAAGGAGCTAAACTGGTGCAGTTTTAGATTTTTTATAAGTCACTGCAAGACCTCGTCATTAAATCATGATGAACATTTATTTAAACTCAAGCTGTGTTGTATATGTATTTTGTAAAATGAGCTACAACTAGGCTAATACAAAATAATTCAGTGTCAGAAAATGCCCAATGTCCTGCCACCTGCTTAGACTTTAGTCAAGTTAGTTCTGTAATGCATGTTTATGTTCAAGGGCTTCCAGAAGGGCTATGCAATTTTTGAATAATTTATGTTTCAAAACTAAAACAGTGGCCTTCATGAGAATTGGAAACTGTTGATAACATCKTTTCACTTTTTGCATTTGTGCACCAATTTCAGTGCTGCACAGTTTGTCTTTACAGCAAAGCATATGAAGCATTCTCCCAAACCGGTCCTTTTAACATAAATAACCTTGTATTCCTCACATTTCAGCTTACTGCTTTGATAGAATTACAAAATGATCTTGAGTTTCTCCATTGCTACTGTGCAGTGGTGTCATCTTCCTCCCACCTCTTCTCACAGCCTCTCCCATTCTCCCCAGTGTCAGCAGTACCGAGAGAGCACATCAGTCCTGGAAAACCAGCCAGCAGGGACATTCGTTCTGCAGGTTCATGCTGTGGATGCAGATGAAGGCTCCAATGGCAGGGTCACATATGGCTTCATGCACAAAGACTCCACTGTGCCTGCTTTCAGTATCCATCCAGACACTGGTGATTAAACACTCCACTGTGTGAACATACAAAGATCATTTTGTCATGGTTGACAAAACACATAGTACCCCCCCCCCATTTGTCTTTTTTTTAAACATTGAAGTGTTTATAAAAATGAGTTCAAGAAGACTTCCTGGATAGTTTCTTGACCTCTCCTCACGCAGCAGAAATGGAAATAATTTGCTCAATATTACATTTTTCACATTTGTTTTTTGCCAAACGAAATTTGTAAAAAATAAAAATAAATATAATAGCAATAATATAGTTTGATAAATATTACTTTTTGTACATGTCTCAGAGGCTTGTCTACAAAGCCACAAAAAGAAAGAAAGAAAGAAATAATAAAACATCAACAATAAGGCACTCTGTATAACACACTTTTCATTTTTGCAAATATATGTCTGTAATTAGATCATTGTATTTATAAATTGCAATATTGTAGGATAAGAGTCAAACAGTTCTTTGATATGATATGACTGCCTGTTCAGCTTCATTCTRTTGGTCTTCACAGGAGCAATTCTGACTGCCAGGAAATTTGACCGTGAACGCCAACGGGAGTATGCAGTTACAGTAACAGCCACAGACCAGGCAGCTGATCCCCTGATTGGAATTTGTCAGCTTAACATTCTTATCCTGGACCAGAATGACAACAGCCCTAAGTTTGAGAACATTCGATATGAGTGTAAGTAAATATTGTGTGAAACAAATAATGTGGGCTCTCAGCAAGAAGGTTGCCAGATCAAATCCCAGCCCRGGTTCCTTTCTGGGTAGAGTTTGCATGTTCTCTCCATGCATGCATGAATTCTCTACTCTGGCTTCCTCCCTTACACCTAAAACATGACTRTTARGTTAATTGGTAACTCTAAATTGTCTCTAGGCGAGAGTGAATGGTTGTTTGTCTCTATGTGTCCCTGTGACGGATTTGCAACTTGTCCAGGGTGTACCCCACCCCTCACACTTTGACTGCTGGACATGGGCACCAGTGACCCACATGACCCTGAAAAGAAGAAGCGGGTATAGATAATGGATGGATGCATGGAAAAATATTGTGCAGCAGGGCTTACACCTACACAAATATACATGTATATATATTTTTCAATTGTTTTTTTTCCTTCATACAAAGTACATGCTGCTTACTGTATCAAAAATATAAATATAATCTGGTAAAATRTATGTGCATAAGCCTCAAAGAACCAGTGTTACAGCAACTATACTACTTTTTTTTTTCTCTTATAGACTTCCTTCGTGAGGACACCATGATTGGAACTAGTTTTTTGCGGGTGGCAGCTCATGATGATGACTTTGGCACCAATGCAGCCGTTACGTACAGTATGTCCAGTGAGCAGCCTGAGTACCTCAGAGTCAGCCCACTGACGGGCTGGGTGTACGTCCACCAGCCCATCTCACAGGTATATACTTTCAAAGTTAAAAAAAACCCATCACATTACAAACTCTTTGGACATCATCTTCTTCCTAACTAAAAAGCATTTATTATGAAYTTTGAAATGTTTTAACTAGAATACTTACATGAAACAACTGTGTAAATGTTTAGGAGTGTTTTGAAGTCAAGAAAAATAACTGAATGTTCTTTGAGTTCATGTGGATTATAAGGTCCCTTATTTATCCACAATTTCAGTCACATATTTCCCACTAAACTAAATGACTTTTTGTTACTAAGTTACCGTAAAAACAAAATGTTTGTGGTTGAGCACCTGCTGACAATGAGAGAGCCTAAACCAAATGGCCAGAAACAGACATGCAGTCTGTATATGCATGTGATTCAGTCTTCACAAACGCTTTTTTTCTTTCTATAAGAAGATCTGGAATTTGTCTCACTTTATTGTCACTTGCTTCACTACCAGCATGGAAAAATCAATCACATTGGAAACATTAAAAACAAATAGAGCAAATTGCCATGTAACGATTGCCAACTAGTCTGTGACTCCGCAGCTTAACCTTTTCTAGCACTGAGATGATTGTGTATAAGAATGATCAACACTTTATATCTCCTTTTATGTCAGTTTGTTTTTTTTACACTAAAATTAAAGTTTTTTGTTTTTTTTTTATATTTTATTTTTTCTCTTAATGCATACCATTTCTATAAACGGAGTACCTAATGTTACTTTACATTTTTGTAATTCATTGTCAGTATACAAATTTAAAATAAGAAGATAAATAAAAAGGTGGATGTACTCTACCCCTCTTCCAATAACTAGAGATAGGTGCCAGCTCTCTGCGAGCCTACATGGAAAAGCGTGGATTAATAATTCTCAAACCCTATAAAAGTATATAGTACACCAAGTTCAACTGAATTTTGTTATTCTTATACAATACAAATAAACTTACAAAATTAGGAGAAAAACTAACTTTTAGGAAACACATTCTTCAGCTGCAGTCAATAAGGCAGTTTTTTTCTTCAAATTATTGCTACTTGATAATCTAAGCCTTTCGGTTTAATCTTTTTTTTTACCCAGTTTGACTCTACAGTCAATTTGGTCAGAGATGGTACAAAATAAACAAATAGGATTTTTATTGAATCTGTGAGATCGAAGTGCACTATGTTTTATCCCATAATTAGCAATGGAAGGGCACATCATTAAGCTTTTTTTTTGTGACACAGAGGACCTACATCACAAGGGAAATTGTGGCTACAGATGGAGGGAACAGGAGCAGCTCTGTAGAGTTGGCTGTCACCATTACCAATGTGAAGAACCAGCCTCCACAGTGGGATAATGACACTTATAGCATAGTGATACCAGAAAACACTGTTCGAGACACACCCATCGTGGTAAGTTGGCCTGCAAATATGTTGGTTGGTGCACAGAGTATAAAYAGACAATTACATATGTCTATTCCAGGAAATACTGCAGCTCATGTTTGAAAGTAGTTAAACATTTTATAAAGAAACAGAATGTTTTTGAAATATTTGACAAAAAAGAACAGTAAACACTAATAAATATGTTGATTGTTGTGAGTGGGCTTTTGACAAGTAAAATGAAAATTCAACTTGCTCAAATAAATGCAATACTACCGTGTAGACATATTGWATGCATCCAAATGTTATGCAATGGAAACTGTTACTTTAGGTTTTCAACAGGCACTTGTGATGTCATTCTGCAATATTTGTTAATTGATATAAATATTTTTCCCTCAAATATACTAGCCTGGCCCTTGYCTTTCTATGCAGTTCCACTCAGTTCTAGTTTCCCTTCGCTGCTTCCTCTGGAATTTCTCCTATAGACAAGGATTTYTCTGGTAGAATTTCAACCAGGCCAATCAGCAAACAGGAGGAGTTGTGAAGATGATTTTCTGGACTGTTTTAATCTGCCAGTAGTTTAGCAGTGGCAGGTGAGGAAGTAAATGAAGCCAGTCCATGTTAATGAGGCTTCCAAATTGAATTAAATTTGCCTGACAGCGCCTGCGCACTCATTTACAGTCATCTCGTTTGRCTCAGAAKGTTCTCCTGTCAGTAGRGGATGGTTGTTTACAGGGAACAAAATTTCCGGTTAGCTTCTTAGCCTAGCTTCCTTCACAGTCGAGCTAGCACACTGCAAACGTCACGGCCAAATGTTAGCAATTGAGTAAAACCAGATCCAATCATTAGAGTCCACACCTACAACAAGAAGTCTCATCTCAATAGTTGAGGTTCCAGACCCTCGGTATGAAGCAAAGCGTAGAACAGGGGGCTGGTTTTTACCAGGTTACAAAAGTACCTATGCTTCTGTGTCAACATTAAAACTATGGAGGACCAAATAGGTTAACAGATAATTCTCTTTTCTTGTTGTTAAAAAAAACTTTGAAAATGATTTTGTTTACTTTAATAACAATTTGACAGAATCAGGGTAAACCCATTGTTCAGTTCTTTTCCAGCCAGGTGTTTGTTCCTGCTTGTTAACTGCTTGCTCCTGAGCACATTTTAAGAAAGCAAGGCCGTCTGTCTTTATCTTAGCTTTGATGTAGTTTTAGAACATTCAGCCAATCTTTATCAGCACTGAATAGGAATATATGRAATGACGAGGAAGCTACACGCTTAGGAACCACAGCTGCAGACAAATGCCCTCATTCAGGAACACTCCAAATTGTATTGTTTACTTCCTTGTGTGGTCCAGATGTATCACATCTACTTCTTTCCATCATTGATAATCAGCTTCTCTTTCACAACACTAAAACACTTCACAATATTTTCGAAGACTCTCGTGAAAGCAGTAAAGTCCATTAGAGTGGCTGATGAATATGTGAATTCACAGGATGAGAATGAAGACACAGGAAAGTCATTTATATGAGAATGTGTGCAMTTTATTGTGTTTGTGAATGTTCCTGGTAAAGCAAGAGGGGAGGATGGTCCCCACGGTTGCATTAATCGAAGTGGTAGTTCAGTGTTGATTTGACTATTACGGAAAGATACAATGACATTCAGTTGATTGTAATTTCTTCACCCTGGACTTTTAAGGGTTTTATGGCCTAAATTGTCACACAAAGTGGTTTGAGATGTTTGTCAGGTCTCTATGCTTCACAAAACGTTTCATTATCATCATTTGTAAAATAAATGGCTACATCTAGGTCACGTAWAAGCAAGCTGCATCAATCCCTTTTCAAATTTTAATTGGCGTCGTGTGTTGAATAACTCCTTTTTAATTGGTTTAGGGTGAAACAGAAAAAAAATCAGGATGTATCTCTGTTTGATCTCACAAGATATCAGATGGCTACTTTTGTGAAACAGCCCCCTACTTCATGTTTTTATTGCTCTTTATTATGGGATATAAAACATTTTCCTTTTCCGTTCGGGCAGATTCTGTTGAACTATTTATGATGCAGACTTCAGTTTTAGCTCGGCAGCCACATTTTACATTTGTGTTCTTGTCCTGAGGGTCACTACTGGCACTGAACAATTTCCAGCTCCTGCAGTTGGTAAATGTGAGATCCAGAGATTTTGTTAAACGCAAATGAATAGTAGTTTAAAATTTTGTTCGTACACTGCTAAAATTGACAATGGGAGAAAACAAAAAAATAAATAGCAACATAATTTATTATGCTGAATTTACAAAAGCCAAATTGGTATTTTGAATTTATTTATGTTTTTTTTTTAGGCTAAATTATAAAACTCGCATAAAGTCAAATTTGTTCACAAAGTAAATTATGTCTGATTTAATATTTAGTAACTCTGGATGTCTCTTTGAACAGTTTAATGTATCATAATTTAATTTAACTATTAAAAACAATGTTTTGTTGTATTCTGCCCTTGTATCCACAAAGACCATCAAAGCCACCTCCAGACTTGGAGATCCAAGGGTAACCTATAATTTGGAAGATGGGATGGTCCCAGAGACTAACATGCCCGTTCGCTTTTACTTGACCCCCAACCGCGAGGATGGTTCGGCGTCCATTTTGGTGGCAGAGCCCCTGGACTACGAGACCACCAGGAATTTCATTCTGCGAGTGCGAGCTCAGAATGTTGCTGCTGTACCACTGGCTGCCTTCACTACAGTTTATGTCAATGTAACTGGTAAGCTTTTGTATGGATTCCTTGTTGTATTGAACTGCATAGATTTTATATAAAATTCATGCAGTTCAATACAACAGTATATAAGAAATATATATAAGAAAATAAATAAAAATATACTCTGTAGTATAATTTGCATCAGGTTACAGGCTGTTTGACATCAACATGTCAGGATTTGCTATGGGTCAGAGAAAAAAAAAGATGCCATCAACGCAAGAATTAGATTCAACAACCACTGTGTTCAGGTAAAAAATAATAAGAAGAAATAGAGTACAGGAGAAAAAAATAAATGAAAACTAGAATCAGTCAGGTCATGTTCCTGTGTGCTCCAAATATAATTATATGTAGGTTATTCACTGGCTGTAATCAAAGTTGTGTTTTTTGCATCACATCTCAGTAAGTTGGTGTTTGTTAGCTCTGGCCTTGCTTTTTCTACAAATGCCTCACATTTTTTTGCATGTAGTTTTGTTGCATCATTGACACATGTACATACACAAACAACCCAGACAAACAGCATCCCATCAAGTTTGTAGTAGCGAGGAATAATTAATTCTCACAGACCCACTCCTGGCTCAGAGTCCCTGTATAGCTATCTGTCTTAATAAGAAAGCTCTTTGACTTCTCCAGAGGCAATTATGTTAAGGAAAAAGGGGGAGGTCTGTAATGGATTTAAGACCTACTTTTTTGTCCATAGATTAAGACATTTGCTTAGAAGACAAGGAAGGATGAAACCGGCACATGGAGCAGCATTAGAGTTAATCTGTGGCACGTTCTGAGCAAATTCTGTAATACCTTTGGACTTWGATCAGCTTTGTTAAAATGTGACTTACTGTTCTGGAAATCTAACTTCCTGTTATGTCCCATCGGTCTTCATTACTAGCTTCGTTAACTGTGTACAGCACTGAACAGTCTGTCCTTTCATTCTTGTACTGATGTGACCAAGACATCAGGGAGGCTGAGCTGTTTTGAAGGCCAATAGCACAATACTTGGAACAACTAGCTGTGGCACATTACACATTGTGGAATTGTAGTTGTCAAGAAGACTTGACCACAGGTCTACTTTATAAGAAGCCTTTAGAAGTTTGGCTTGAAGACCAGCATCAAAATAAATTTCTGCAGATGCATGATAAAAGGTGTTCAGTGTTCTGCATTACACTTGTATGTGGGTAGAATGTTTGTGGAGAGGATACAAAACACCAGTGGATAAATTACACAAACCATTTAGGATTTTTACTCTCAAAGGTGAATCCTGTATGGAGGACCTAAACTAACATAATTCAAAATAAAAGCAGAAATGCATATAAATGGCACATTAAATAAATGCAGTTCAAACATAGCAATTCATTGAAAACAAGGAGGCAAGACTAGGAGGAAAAAAAACACTTAGCTGTGTTTGTTTACTAAACTTTGAACTTTAAGCTAAACTGAAGCAACATAAGGATGTACAATCAATCTGCACATGGATCCAGCTCCTTCCTGCCTATTGACCAGTGGTAGAGGAGCTGACCCAAGAAGGACAGCCCTCCTTATTTGCTTAATGAGGCAGAAATAGATAAGGCAAAGCAAAAACAGGAGACAGAAAAATGTCAAAACAACACATGGAAATAAAAAAGACTATAAATAAACTTTTAAGAGACACCAATGCATCTACTAATAAAAGAAAAAAATGTGCTAAAACATAATTTACTTAAACTAAACTGAAAAATAAATTGTAGTCCTCTTAATATTAAATGGAAACTGTTTGAGTGTGCTCTAATCACACTCTTATTCTGTTTTCTTTCATTTCAGATGTTAATGATAATGTCCCATTTTTCACTTCTTCCATCTACGAGGCATCAGTCACTGAAGGAGCAGAATCTGGAACTTTGGTTTTYCAGGTTTCAGCCAATGACCTCGACTTGGGCCTTAATGGCAAGGTAAAAGTAAAGCATTCTACTGTAGTCAAGTGGCGTCTGGTCCTGCCCCTTAAGGGCCACTGTCCGGCATCTTTTACCTGTTTCCCTGCTCCAGCATATCTGGAATGGATTGAAAACAGGTTTCTGTAAAACTTGAATAGGTGATTCAGTCATTGATTTATGTGTGTTGGAGCAGGGAAACAAGTAAAACAAGCAAGATGGCGGCCCTCAAGGACCATGACTGAACACCCCTGCCATAGACGATATTTCAGCTTTAATTTAAAAAAAGTTGCAAAGCAATAGGAATTTACATAGAATCATCAGTTTGCATTACTGTGCCAAATCATTTTCTTTTTTCTTTTCTTTTTTTATCATTCTAGTTATCTTGTGGTAGAATATTAGGTTCTTGGTTTGATGTTGATCAATTCAATCTTGTGTCAGATTTCTTACTCCTTGCTGGAAGATCGTAGTGGAGACCATCAGTATTTTCGTATCGACCCTGAGCTGGGCTTCATCTACACTCAGGCTGTGTTTGACAGAGAGACCAAAAGCTCATACTTGTTGGAGGTTCAGTCTGTGGATGGCTGGGAGTCAGCACGACCTGGCAAGCATGGACAACCCAACTCTGGTAACACAAAGCAACACTTCAATGTTCATCTTCAGTTTATTTATTACTTCCATTCATAGCTATTTTCTGATTGTAGTCTTAGCATAGTTTGTTAGCGTTTCAACAATTTATGTACAAGATTAATGAAAAGTATGTCAAACAAAGTTTTAAATTTCCACTTTACCGCTTAGTATATTTTTATGCTTTGATGCTTGATTAAAAAGCCAGTGAGCTTATACTTATAATATTCCATCGAGTAATGAATGAGGAGCCCTATCAATTACGCTCAGTCCAGAACATGGCCACCATCTCGAAAGCTGCCATATTGGATCAAAATAAAAGGATACCCTGTGGCTCTTGGCAACATAAACAAGAATGAAATTGCTGTTAGGATCATTTATCTTTACGAGGACTGAACTGCCTCTACAGTTTGACTGTTAACTACATTGTATAAAGATAATGGCAGGTAATAAAAGGTGGGAATATTTGTCACCTACTGTTAAAGACAAGTGAGTGATTGAAATGTTTTTTTTTCCCAGAGGAGGAAAAAAACTTATAAATAATAATAATAATAATAATAATAATAATAATAATAATAATAATAATAATAATAATAATAATAAAATACTTTTTGGTTTGTGTGCCTTTACCTGGACATTTAAAACCATTATTTCCAAATATTTTTATTGTGTTAGCTCACTGACTGAGTTCACTGAGCACACTGATAGAAATAAATGCTTAACATAAAGTTTCTCAGAGAGTACACAATATTGTCTACATTAATTGTAGTTTCAAATTAATTCACCTAAGAGAAAAAAAATGTCAAATTTTGAGGCAACATGTATGTTTCTCCTTTCATCATAAATGTTTTACTTGTATGGTACCTTGGCGGTTTTGTTTGTATTTTGACTTTATTTAAAACAAACAATCCACTTCACATGACAATTACACGGTAGCTGCTGAAGAACACAAATGGGTTTGGCGATAGGCAGTCGCTCTAGATTTACGTCTCCAAATCTCCATTAGGCTGCTAAAATGTGTTTTCCTCGTTCTGTTTTCATCTCACATCTGCACATCTTTCTATTCAAAGACCAAAGGGCGTCTACATCTTTCAGTTTGTCACTCGTGCTCTCTCTCCCCTCCATGTTTCTACTTCTCTCTCATTTGCTTCCAGATGAAATGCATACATGCTCTACTAGAGTAGAGCGTGGATGAAGAAAAGAACAGCTGCTGAGACAGATGGGTGGAAGGAGAAAGGTGTCAGAAAAAAAATAACAACAGCAAAACAGGCCAGAATCATGAAATCCTCAAWCCAGTTTTAAAAACAGAGTAAGAAGTAAACAAAGGCAATATCCAGTTAAGCAGAGGGGAAAAAGATATTAAAATGTAAATGAAAACTGTACATAAAAATAAATGAAAGGCTTTCAAAAGACATGAATGTCTGTCAGTAGTGACAATTTGATGACAAACTCATTTWATTTATGAACTAAACAACCCCAAACATCCTTCAATTTAGAATTACAAGTGTGCTGTAATGATCTGGCTTGCAGAGGACACACACCACTTAACAAAATATTAACATAAAATTTCATAATTTGGACCATGGAGCCCCACTTTGTTTATTGAGGGAATTTCTTGTTTGTCTCTGTGGATCTATGAGCCGATAAAGTCACAGTCTCTGAACTTTTAATGATGCTGCAGAGTTGTAGTCGGCCTGTACCTAAACTCTGGCTTTATTGCAGCCGTATGTTCAGATATTCAAATATTTAAAGTGCTTTTTGTTTGTCCAGCACTAACCAGACMACTGGGATTATTTGGTATAAACAGCATGCATTCTGCTGGAGCAAATAAAARGTTTTCAGTATTTTTTACTCGTACGTGAAACTGTAAGTTACTTTGCACAAGTTCAAATTATGTACATTCCATTAATTAGCAAGGTGTGTTAGAGTTTGTGTTAGAATGGGCCATCGTGTCCCTCACTTTGTGTATTATTTTATTTTGGAGCTTCCTCAGTTAAATGGCTAAAATTGTATTTTTAAATGATTTCGTAACTGTCACATTTTGTTTTGTTGCACACCACATTTGTTTCTCAGAATGTAATTGTGTTTTAAATGAATGATGGAAGATGATTAGGATCTCTCTTGGTCTAGCTTAGTTTGACATTTGTAAAAGCCTAAAGCGAAATTAAATATGAAGAGCTCCAGTGATTACAGGGAAGCAGAGTGAAGTTATTTGTTTTGTAACGATTATGATAAAATGATGGGTGATGGTCAAATTAGGAAATACCTCGGGCAGGCAGGCACAAACTCACACAACCCCCCCCCCCCCCCCCCCCCCCCCACTGGGACAAATGATTTATTGTTTGTCTCTTTTGTTTCTATTTATTGAAAATGGAATTAGATTGGCATTTATTGTAAACCGACAACAGAAATGTAAGTCAGCTAATTTATTTGTGTGCTTCAAAGAGTTGACAGTGAACTATTCTCCTTTTCTTATGTTTAGATGAGAAATTAACCACTTACTGTATCTAAATAAAAAAAACGAATTTGAGAAAACAAAACTTGAGCTTCTGTTTGGTGAGTTGGTAACAGTGAATAGAAGCTGAAAAAAGGTTTTGTATTTATTAAAGGAATACATATCACCAACTTTCTTTCATGTCAGTGTAAGAAAATGTGTTTTTACTTGGCAGCTGAAGCACGAACAGGAGACAAATTCAGATTTTAGACGTGAACATTTAATTGCAGAATATAAAGTCTCACACAACCTTTTTTGATGGAAACATTGTGTTTGTCTGTTTCTTTAGTGTAAGGCCTGTTTTATTTAAACTGTTCCTCATAAGTGCAGTTCGTTCAGAGGTGACCCACGAGTCACTTGAAACAGAGCAAACACTACTATTTAATCCCAGCTTCACAGTACATAGAATTAATCATTTGATATCAAAAATAGTTTTGACATCTCAATAAAAACTTKTACAGGGGTTGGACAATGAAAMTGAAACACCTGCCATTTTAGAGTGGGAGGTTTCATGGCTAAATTGGACCAGCCTGGTGGCCAATCGTCACTGATTGCACATTGCACCAATAAGAGTAGAGTGTGAAGGTTCAATTAGCAGGGTAAGAGCACAGCTTTGCTCAAAATATTGCAATGTACACAACATTATGRGTGACGTACCAGAGTTCAAAAGAGGACAAATTGTTGGTGCATGTCTTGTTGATGCATCTGTGACCAAAACAACAAGTCTTTGTGATGTATCAAGAGCCACGGTATCCAAGGTAATGTCAGCATGTTACCACCAAGAAGGAYMAACCACATCCAACAGGATTAACTGTGGACRCAAGAGGAAGCTGTCAGAAAGGGATGTTATGGTCTAAAACCAGGTGTTTCAGTTTTWTTTGTCTAACCCCTGTATATGTGAAGCACATTTAAAATTCTGTGCAAACAGAATGAATTTTCCTTCACCAGAGTTTTAAACTATTCTTGTTGTCTGTGAAGAAATCATGGGATTATAATCCATTTTTGCCACTTTTCCACTAGTGCGTGTCGTGTCGGTACGGTCAGTGTTGGAACGGGTCAGTTCGGGTGTTTTTCCATTGACGTTCCAGTCTTGTTCCAGTGGGTGTGTTTTGGGCAGTTGGTGGAGATATTTTTTTGGGTTTTTCGAAAAAAAAAAATTAATGCGCAAAATGAGAGGTAGAAACACATTTGCCGAATAAGTTCTGAAATTTTAAAAATTTGCTAAAATTTAGAGTTAAAATTGGATGGAAACATGTCTAATTTCGCTGATATGATTGAAAAAAAAAAGTATCATTGTGTTATTGTTGTAAAGGCAACTTAGACACAACCAGTAACTCCACCCCCTAGCTAATCAGTGACGAACAGTGTTCTGACCTTGCATTTTGGTGTCGACTGGGACCGCTTGGAACCTCAACAAAAAGTAGATACTAAAAATGGGTCAATTCCATGAATCTGGCCAAATGGAAAGAGCTTGGAACCATACCGTACCGACACTACACCAAGTGGCACTAGTGGAAAAGGGGCATTTTGTCAATATCAGGTCCTTTTTGATTTTTTTCTACGTTTACTTTGCTGTGGCAAATCAAGCTAACTCTAAACGTTAAATAGATTTACCCTCATTGATTGCATTCTACAAATTTCATTACCATTTGTTCAGAGATAATTTGCAAACATGTACAGGCAAAAGATTATTACCCACCTTCACGTTGTGCAGCAGGCAGTAGTTGTTAGCACTTAGCAGATTCTAATAGAAACCAGAATTCCAATATGTTTTTTTTTATTTTAAATTTTTTAAGAACTCTCACTTATTCAAATTTTGTTGGTTTGAATACAGTTTAAAAGCTTTGACCCCATGTTTAAGAACTACAGTGACAAAAAGTTTAAACCTCTTAACATTTTGTAACCATGTTCACTTCGTTCACCATAGCAACAGTTTCTGCAACTTGTTAGTGTGCCGATACAATGACTCATGTCTGATAAAACTATAACCAAAATATTGTTATTGAAAGTAAAGTTGGAATATTTTCATTGTCACATAATCTGTATTTTGATCTCAAAGATTTGAGAAACAAAGATTCTTATTTATTTTTATAAGTGGTTTTAAAGACAGAAAAAGAAAAATGAACCTCCGCTTCTACATTTTTGTTTCATTTGCGAGACAAACAGATCAAACTTTAGAAATTGAAGCCTCTTGTCATAAAGAGTTAGTCTGATATATTTGTTGTAGAAAACAAAAAATAAATTCACTATGATGCAAATCAGTGGGTTTTTTTTCTTATTTCCTGTCAAAAGCTTAAGCAGTGTCATTTTTTTATGAAATGGGAAGAATGAATTTATGAAGAATATAAAAATCCAGTATTTCAGTCATCACACAGGTTGTGTGTTTCATTTACRAGTAGTTTTCAAGTTTTTCTATGCAATGGTTCTCTTTGTTTCAGTTATAGTGAACTTTGATTCCTCTTGCACACTTTTCACTTTACTTACCGTTGCCTTTTCTATGCTTTAAGCACCCAATTAATGCTGAATGAACCTTCTTCAAAACAAAGCTGACAAAAGTTATCCTTAATTAGTTCATTGAAAACTGGTGAACATGCTTACATGACATTGGGGGTGGGATGAGCGTAGAAAAAAGACATTTCAACATGTTCTGTGTTTTGCATTGCAAATCTAAGCATGCATACTGAAATGAAATATCAGAAAGTTGTCATGTAAAAAAAAGACAAAACAATGTTGATGGGAAAGTTTTTTCTGCAGAAGAGCAAGACTGTGGGATGCAGTTTGGYCAATGTGTGAAACATGGATATGCTGTGGATGGCAGCTAAATCCACTTGTCCACTTCCTGCATTCATCCTTCTCCCCTCCCCACCCTTCTGAACATGTGAAAAGTTCTGACATGCAGCTTGTTTTGCTATAGCTCCAAGKGCTGCATTTGTTTCCTATCTGTGCCATGAACTGTATACCAACTCTTCCACCCTGCCTTAAATAATTAATCTCATCTCGAAGCTGTATTGCAAATTATGCACTTTTTTTATACAGATATCAAAGGAAGTGTATATAGCTTTACACTGATACCCTAAGGGTGCTTTGAACTCCAGCCTCTGGGAGAAAAAAARGTTGGATTTTGTGGTAGAACAGTCTAGAATGATCAAGACAATAAAAAAGATGAAATAAGTTATTTTGTGTCATCTGAGGAATTYCAACTTTTCCATTTGCACTAGTATTGATTCACATAGCTAAAGTGACTAAGTTGTTGCCAYGCAAAGAGGAAAAAGCAAACCAATAAAAACAGATGTTTGTGTTCCAGTTGACAGAATAAGAACAACCTCTGGTTTTTAATTGCCTTTGCCTGTTTTTTTTTCTTTTTTTTTCCTCAGACACAGCATATGTTCGTGTTTTTATCAGCGATGTGAACGATAATAAGCCGACGTTTGGACAGGCTTCCTATGAAGTTGATGTGGATGAGGACGCTGACGTAGGCTTTGCTATTCTCACAGTCAGTGCCAACGATGGGGACGAAGGTAGGTGGCATGAATACAGAAAGCGCTACGTGTGTGTGTGTGTGTGTGTGTGTGTGTGTGTGTGTGTGTGTGTGTGTGTGTGTGT